TCGTCACCAAAAAACGCTCAGTAAAAAAAAAAAATTCTCATCTATCTTAGATTGCATTTATTAGGTAATAATAGTGCACCCCAAGCCTCTGGTGGCTGTGGCGGGGGGGGGGCTGGGGGGGGAGGGGGGGGGGGGGGAGGCACAAGACACCCCACCGCCTCCCCCCCCTCCCCGTTTCCCCGGGTCTGCCCTCGGGGTCCCGTGGGGGCTGCGGCTGGAAGTGACCCTGTGCCACGGGTCAGGACGGGCTCGCCCCTGCCCGCTGACGGGCTTTAGGCACTGGGGCGGTGGGGGAAAAGTGGTGTTTTCTGTCGTGGAGCTCGGGTTGAGGTAAAATTTTCGGACATCTCACCCCCCCGGCGGGTCCTCCGGCGCCGGGGCAGCGGTGGGTGACTCGGCCCGCGGCGGCCCGGCCACCCGCTTAGCGCTTGAAACGGGAGAAAACTTCATGCGGATTTTGGAACCGCTCCCGTAGGAACGCGGCCCATCGGGAAGTAACGTGTATTTTTCTCTTTCTTATGGTTTTTTATTTGTTGTTCTTGTGTTTTTTTTCACAACAGAGTTACATTCCGAGGAGCCTCCCAGGGAAGAGCGGTGTAGGTAAGCTGCCTGCAAAGCGCATTCCTCTGTTTTAGTTGAAAATTGCCAGCTGCGAACTGGAAAACGCCCACGTGGAACAGCCAAAAAGCGACCCAAAGCGTATGAATTAGACGCGGTTATGAACCAACATTATTTTTCATTATTTCAGCAGGATTTGCTTGCGTTTCTCTGTTAAAAGTTAAGAGCTCGGAAGTGTTTTGATGAATCGGTGTGTGCACTTTGTAAGTGCAAAATGTTACGCTGGTAGTGTACCCCAGAGGAAAGTTTGATTAAACTCACACAAATTGATTTAAACTAATTAACATAACTACTGTGTATAGCACTGCTGACATCTGCCAGGAGAGGGCTGTATAGCCACAGTGGTAACATAAAACCTGCTCCACTCTTTTATTTTTCTACCCTAAAAGAAGGGGTTGAAAAAGCATCTCCCTGATGAGGAAAGGCTGGGAGAGCTGGGTCTCTTCAGCCTGGACAAGTGAAGGCTGAGGGGAGACCTTATTAATGCTTCTAAGTTCCTAAAGGGTGGGTTGAAGGAGGATGGAGCCACACTGTTTTCAGTGGTTCCCAGTGACAGGACGAGGGGCAACGGGCACAAGCTGGAACATGGGAAGTTCCACTCAAAAATGAGGAAGAACTTCTTTCTGGTGAGGGTGCCAGAGCCCTGGAACAGGCTGCCCAGGGGGGTCGTGGAGTCCCCTTCTCTTGAGATCTTCAAGATCCACCTGGATGCAATCCTGAGTGATGTGCTCTGGGCAACCCTGCTTTGGCAGGGGAGTTGGACCGGATGATCTCTAGGAGGTCCCTTCCAACTCTGGCAGTTCCGTGATTCACAAGTTCCTTAGAAAGAAAGAACTTGCTTGTGGACTTAAAGTGCAGATGAAAGGAGATCCACAGAATTAAAGACAAAGCTCAACATAAGATCTCTGTGATAGGGTTAAATGAAGGTTTTGGCAAGTGCAGCTGTGCCACACTGACTCTGCAAAGGCCTAGGGGACTCACCCTTGGACCTTGCTGGAAATCAGTGACAAAGTGCTAAGAATGCCCTGGAGAGGGCAGGGGCGGGCTTCAGCCCTCTCAGCAAACAAGCTCAGAGGGGGAGAAGTGGTGCTTTCTGCTTTTAGGAGTATTTTGAAGCCTGGATTACGGCGTGGCTTTTCACATTGGCTTTCTCAGCTGGAGATGGTTTAGTGGCAAATGCAGGAGAGCACCACGGTGGCCCTGCAGCCAGTCAACGAAGCCTGTAACAGCATCTGTTTCAAAGACATTCCCCTCACGCTCGTCTGCTCCTTTTTCCTCCTTCTCACCATTTATTCTCAACCTATTCAGTTGTGCTGCTCTTTGAAGGTGGTGCTCTAAGTCAAATTTGGTTTTGTGGTGTGGGGTTTTTTGTTGTTTTTTTTTCCTCTAATTCAGATTATGTCAGTGATTTTTTTAAGACTATGTCACCGGCAATGTTTGTGGCAGCCTAATGATGGGGAGAATAAACAGTAGGTAAGTGAGAGAGAGGACAAGTAACCAGAGGAGACACATCTTAACCAAGCTTCCTCCTCAGGTAAAAAGTAAGGCAAACCCAAACTCTCAAATCACTGCAGGCTCAGTGATACTGTTGCTGTTGTCATCTTTTAGTGCCTTTGGAGGAAGAATAGGGAAACCACTTCTGAGGAAAAGGTGTTTGCCCATGAGACCTACAGGGTATACATGCTGGTAATCCCTCTGGTGAGGGGACTGTGAGCAGGCTGTTTGGAGGCTGAGGGCATATTTTACCAGGTCTGACATCTGCTGGGTCACCAGAAGACAATCTTGAAGACAGACTGCTTCAGAGGAGGGTGCGTGGTCTCTCGGAGGACACAGATCAGCAGCTGGCCACTCCCATGCCTGCCTGCGCTCAGTTACAGGAAGGGAGCTGGTTGCTGATAGAAAAGATGAAACTGAAAGCATTTTCCAGGCTTTTGGGGAAACAGCAGATAGCATAATACTGACTATTTCTCAGCACCCATGTATGTTCACAGAGACAGAGTGCACCTGAGCTTTTCACTTTCCTGTTGTGATTCATAAGGCATCGGAAGGAAAGAGAAGAAGGTCTTGAGGAAAGGAGCTACTAGATGGGGTGGTTAATTTGAACAGAATAATCAACAACACTTGAGGCCTTGATTTCTTTGCTTAGTTAGGCTTTTTAAGTTATGAAAAGGGGAAAGAGAACATCAGACTATGCTAAAAAAATGGGTAAGTAACGACAGTAGGGTGAAATTGAGAGCTATAAACCACACTTCTCTGTAAAAAGCAATGTTTTGACAGTCATATCTTGGATTTCACTTTATATTATTCTGTATCCTAGGACCAAGTATGGTAATGGATGAGGACACCTTGATGATCCCCATCAGTAAAGATGCCTATGAAGCTCTTGAGAAAAGAGAGAAGTGCCTGAGTAATCTCATTTACAAAAAGTTTGCTTGTACATTGACCTTCAAAAGTACAAAATGCACTGTTGAAGTATACAGGAAAAAACTAAAGCATGGAATTGACATTTGTGTTTGTAAGGATGATCTCACTAGACATAAGGCTGATGCTGTGGTGAATGCAGCCAATACCTCTCTCGATCATCAAGGAGGCCTTGCTTTAGCCCTTGTGAATGCTGGAGGGCCAGAAATACAAGAGCAAAGCGATCGTTATATTCAGAAGTATGGAAAAATCAGAACTGGCCAAATAGCGGTGACAGGTGGAGGGAAGCTTCCTTGTAAGAAAATTATTCATGCAGTTGGCCCAATATGGTCAAATTTTGAACAGCAAAGATGTTGTCATCTACTTCGTGAAGCTATTATGAATGTTCTGAAGTATGCTAGTGATCCAGAAAATGCTATCCAGTCTGTTGCTATCCCAGCCGTGAGTTCAGGTGTTTACGGCTTCCCTCTCAGTTTGTGTGCTAAAGTGATTGTAGGTACTATAAAGGAATTTGTTGAAACAACTAAACCAAGTTGTCCGAGGGAAGTCCGCCTGGTGAACATTTGTGATGCTACGGTTGCAGAGATGAAGAAGGCCTGTGAAGTGATTCTGGGTGATAGCAGTTCACTTCAGGAAACTCTTTCAGGTCAGGAAACTCTTTCAGCTTCACCAAGCCAGCCTTCAGCTTTCATCAAACTTGGAGGTATTCGTTTGCGCATCACAAGAGGACTCCTGGAAAAGCAGAGGGTAAGACAGTCCCATAAGATGTTGAACACGGAGTTGCCTCCAAGTCTTTGCAGGATTTGGGGCCCAGGAGTTCAGAACACATATTGTATCGGTCCACCAAATAGTTATCTTCTCATCCTGTTGAGCATTCATAAATGGTAAATAAATTATAGTGGCAAGGAGTAGGTTTTTTTTTCTAAAAGGAGTATTAAATATTAGAACGTTTTTCTTTCTTTTTTTTTATACATGCTGTTATGGGATAACAGGAAGCAGCTAAAGATTGGATGATTGATAATAATATATCCATGTGTTAATCTTTATCTTATTATAACATCATGGTAGTTCACATTTTATCATGCACTCACAAGAAATATACTCTTATTTTTTTCCTTGTTTTTTTTTTTTTTCCCTATAATTTATGTTCTTATAGATGTCACTACTGGAGTTATTCAACAAACACTGAAAGAGCTGAAAATAACTCCTACAGATCATGTGCACCTTACCTTTAAACAGTGCATCATTTAAATTGATTAATTTTAACTTTTTAGCTAGGAAAGATGTGAGCTTAGTCACAGTAATCAAACAGAGCTCTTAGACTGGAACCTACATCACAGAAATGGCATTTGCTTTTAGCAAATACTGTATCTTAAAAACATTCAAAATTTTTATTTAAAAGAAGTATCTTAATTGAATGGGAAGCTCATTTTTTTTGAGGCGAGGGCAAAGGATCGCAAAGTTGACATTGTGGAGAATTTTATTAACTGTTTCTACAGCACTGAAAGATACCACACGCCTTCAAGACTATGAGGAAAATAGGCCCCAAAGTGTTGTCTTTTTAGATAATCTGATAAGCTGTTGGCTTCTGAAAAAAAAAGTGTGCATCTGCTGCCATGAGAAGGTGCATACTTTGATGTGTTCCAGCACTGCCCTTAGTGATACTAAGAGAACCTTTCAAACATCTGATCTGTTGCCATCATACTTTTTTAAAGGAATTGTTCCTAGAAAGAGTGCTCCCTAGAGTAGCAAAGCTTGCAAATAGTAAACTTGAAGTACACTGAAACTTTGTACTCTTTTCTTCCAGACCACAGCTATTGTTAATTCTGTGTCTGCCAATGGTGACCCTTTTCCAGCTTCAAGAGTGCTGCTGCAAAAGGCGGGTTCAGCTCTTCAGGATGAGCTTAAGGCTCATTTCAGACATCCTTCGCGTTATGAGCCACTCGTAGTAACAAAAGGGTATAACCTGCCCTGTGAGGTTGTGCTGCACGTTGTATGGCCGCTGCACCACCACAGCATGTCAGCGCGTGAGGTGATGACCAGTTACACTGGATTTTAATTGATTTTCATGTTGAGTGATGTGAGGACTAAACCACTGCTTTTTCTCGCAGGTATTTCAAGATGCAGTGAAAAGATGCCTGTGTTACATTCGGAAACAACAATTTCCCTCAGTTTCTTTTTCACCAAATGGGATTTGGTTGTCAGTACTGGATGTTGAGACAGTGGCAGATATCATGATCGAAGAGGTTTTAAATTTTGCCAGGACAAAGCCTGAGGAGAACTTAGATGTGCAGGTTGTCTTTTGCCCGGGTGACTACATTGCCTATCAGGTAACAAATTTGTTGTTGGCTACCAATAACATAAACCCAAAACTGTAAAAATATCCCCGTAGATGACTACAAATTAAGATAATCATAATTCTGTACTACTTACAACGTTTGTGAGCAGCAGGTTCCTTTATGAAACTCTTTGTCTCATTGACAGGTATTATTAATCTTTACAAATCTTTATTTCTCTTCACTAAACCTAGAGTTTTCACCTTATGGTGTGATAACAAAGGGAGGGAGCTCTGAAATTCTCATGGCTGTCAGTGACTTTATAAGAAAGAGTCTACTCTGAACTCATTAGGGAATAAACTTGCTCCTCCTCAGGAAATTTCTTTAGCCATTTTTTCTTTGTGTGAAGTTCCTAGGGCAAAACACTATGGACACATTATATGACCTAACATGAAAGAAGGGTTGCAAACGAACAGTGGATAATTTCAACTGCTGTGTGCCATTTTCCACCTTTTGAATATTTGGCTGATGTGGTTAATACACAACTATTTTAGATAGCCATCTATTATAAAACTACAGTTTGCTTTTGTTTCCATTTAACTTCAGCCATCCATTCTTTCAACAGGTGCAAGAACCTGGGGGTTCTTGGTGGAGAAGGGCTGGAACTGGGTGATGTTCAAGGTGCCTTCCAGCCCAAACCTGGCTGGGCACACATGTCCAGCTTTTCATCCACCAGTACCCCAAGGTCTATCTCGGCAGGGCTGCTCTCAATCCCTTCATCTCTCAGCCTGTATTGACACCAGGGGTTGCCCCGACCCAAGTGCAGGACCCTGAACTTGGCCTTGTTGAACCTCATGAGATTCACACGGGCCTACTTCTCAACCTTGTCCAGGTCCTTCTGGATGGCATCCTGTCCCTCAGGCGTGTCAACCACACCACTCATCTTGGTGTTTTCTGCAAACTTGCTGAGGGTGTGCTCAATTCCACTGTCTATTAATTGATGAAGATATTGAACAGTACTGGTTCCAGTACAGAACCCTGAGGGAGACCACTCATTACCAATCTCCATCTGGACGTTGCGCCATTGACCACTACCCTCTGGATGCAACCATCCAACCAATTCCTCATCCACCAAACAGTCCACCCATCAAATCCATGCCTCTGCAATTCAGAGAGAAGGATGTTGTGGGGGACCGTGTCAGAGACCTCACAGAAGTCTAGACAGATGACATCCATAGCTCTTCCCTTGTCAACTGATGTAGTTGCTCCATCATGGAAGCCCACTATGTTGGTCAGGCTGGACTTGCTGTTGGTGAAGCCATGCTGGCTGTCCCAAATCACCTCCCTGTCCTCCTTGTGCCTTAGCACAGCTTCTAGGAGGATCTGTTCCATCATTTTCCCAGGCACAGAGGTGAGGCTGACAAGTGGGTAGCTCCCAGCATCCTCCTTTCTACCCTTTTTAAAAATGGGTGTGATGTTTCCCTTTTTCCAGTCACTGGGGGCTTCACCCGACTGCCATGACTTTTCAGTATGATGGTGAGTGCCTTGGCAATTACATCAGCCAGTTCCCTCAGGACCCTGGGATGCGTCTCCTCAGGTCTCATAGAGTTATATATGTTCAGGTTCCTCAGCACTAAACTGCCAAGTAATGAACACCTTTATGGACTGTGGTTCCGCGAGTTCCAGATATGCCACAACTACAAGGAGCTGGTAAAGGTGCCATTCAGTGTGTCAGGTGTCCTACCTCAGGAGACGTAGCGGAAGAGGAATGCACTTGATACTGTCAGGAATAAAATTTTAGGGAAAGCTGACAAATATAATCTGTTAACAATTTCAGAATTTGGAGGGAGGGTGTAAGTACAGCTGTAAATTGCTTATCTAACAGAGTTTTGAGGAGACAAATTGCATATTTGACAACAGGGATTGCAAACTGCTCTTCCTTTTTTTCTTTGAAGGTCTTCCAGGCAAAAGTTTTGTCAGCAGCACGCAATCTGGGAGAAATGCCATATTACAAGAGAAGTGATCTTCTGAGTAAGTAATGAACAGGCAAGGCATTTCAAGTAAATGAGCATTTCAGATTTGAGAATATGAAATCACATTCCTTTAAAAAGAACTTAGTATTTGCATATGTGTCTTGAGGAAAGGGGTGAGGGGGCAAAAATGTGTGAGCACTTTGCATTTTTACGTTAATAGGAATGGAACTGGGCACTCCCTTTAAGACTTGCAAACATAAAAATCATCATGAATGCCTAACTTGTTTGAAGTCATTTAGTGGAAGGCAAATAAATTCTGCATGTATGTGGTTGGGTTTTTTCCCTGGAAACCTTACCTACTGGTATCTAATTTTTTTGTTTGGTTGGGTTTTTTTGAGCATACCAGGAGAGTAGTGTGTTTCTGGGCATATAGGAATTTGTGAGAGCGCTTGAAAGCTCCTCACTCTTCCAACACTTGTATAAAAAAACCATCTTTCTTCCAGGTATAGAGTCAGGCAGTCAAAGCATAAAAGAGACTGCAAATAACGACCTGGCAATTGAACTTAAAGGGAAATCAAGTACGGCATTGGAAGCAGCAAAATCCTGGATCGAAAGCCTGGTACAAATTCAGGAAAGTCACCGTGCTGTTATCGAAAACAACTACATTCTTAGCCTGGGTAAAAAAGAGTTTGCAGAACTCTCTCTCGAGCAGCATTCCAGTCTAAGCGTATCAGAAGAAGTGTTCGGTGGAAAAGCAAGGCTGGAATTTCAGGGTCTTCCCGACACTGTGATTGATGCAGTGCTCGCAACTGAAAAATTACTGCTTCGTATGCAAGAGGAGACTGCAGCCAAACAACAGGAACAGCTTTACTCCATGTGTATGTAAAGTAAATAAGTGACTAATTAAGTAATTACATGCATAGATAAGAATAAGCATGAGGCAACGTTTATCTGTGCGTTGCTGAGAGTGGACAGAGGTGCAGTCAGTCCGCACACGTACTGAGCATGGCTTTAATTACCGTTACTGCTGTGCTTTTCTCAAATGAGCCCCTGACAGACCACTGGTGAGCTTTGGGCAGTCCCTTGGCTGTATTCCCAGTAGGGCACCGTTTGTACCGGGACTGGCCACGGTTGTACAGCCAGCCGTAACGCTGGCTTCTGCCAGAACAGCTTCACTTTAAAGCCCTACAAAATTAACACTTAACTAACACATACCTTTGCTGAGCTCTTTTGCTAGCTACAGCTGCACTGCTGCTGCAGGACCTACCAGTGGACTTGTTCTGTCGTGTCCTTGACTTTGCTTAACAGTTGATAGAGGCAGTGGCATTACAAAGAGCTACTGAATGATTAATTTTTCCTCGTGGCTGTAGAGTTGTTCTGTGTAGATACCGTTCTGTGAAAGGTGGGCTGTGGACAGATGTAATGGAGAAGATAAAATTACTTTTCTTTGGTTCCCTCTCTCTCTGGTTTCTTTAATAAATGTAGAAAAAATGCATAAATGAATATGTATCTATATATACATATCAGTCCCTATCAATATTAGACCTGGCATTCCTTTGGAGAACATTTAAAATTCTTTGTTCTTAACCAAATTAAAGTATTGGATCCCTTCTCCTTGCCTTTGCTTCAGATATTATGATATATGAAATTTTTACTCCCTTATTTGTATCCAGGCTACCCAGAAGTGGATCAGCTTTCAGGAGGACACCTTCACAACACAAACATTCTGAAGGAGGTTGGGATTTCACTGGTGGAATCACACCTTCAGGAGTTTAAAGACAGACAGAGACAGTTCGAAAAAGCTGGGCTTCACGTTCTCAAGGTGAGGAGGGTATTCATGGAAAAACTAAATCTCAGTTGATGTATTTGAACCAACACGTTTAACATATGCTTAAAAGACTGAGATGAGCTATTTCAATATACTGCTTTTAAAAATTGAGATCAAATTGTCTAATCCTTAAAAGAGACGTAGTCTTTACTCCTAATGAAAAGTATTTTAAACATAATGCAAATAATCACATGGTTAAGTTCTGAGAAGTTCTTTTAACTGGACTGTATGTTCTGTCTCATTACATGCTTCACATGTTCCTTTATAGGGCTCTAGAGAAATAGGAGGTTGGTACATTAGAATGCGTACAATATTGCAGGACACTCACGGAGTGTCCCTGTTTTCTTGTGAGCTTGACACAAAGACTCACGGAGTGTCCCTGTTTTCTTGTGAGCCTGACTCAAAAAAATTAGCAACTGAATTAGTCAGAGTTATGATCTGACGAGTAGCGTGTCGAAGCTGGGATCTCACGTGGCTATTGGTGCTTTACGGAGGGGGAGGAGGACGAGGCTGCGCAGAATCAGGGAAAAGAGAGAAAGACACAAGTTTGTAGACAGGGCTTTGTGTTCCTCGTGTGTGGTGTGATGCCGCACGCAGCCACGCTTCCCAAACATAAGCTGACATCAAGGCCCTCTTAACCTGTGGACCTCTTTCTTCTCCAAGAGCTGTAAAGTTTTGATCAAGGAGAGCTGAGGTTCTCCACCCCTCGCAGGACGCTTGCAGCTCTCTCTAAGATCAGGCTGTGAGCACCCACACTTAAATGAGTCACAGAATGGCCTAGGTTGGAAGGGACCTTTCAGATCATCTAGTCCAAACCAAAGGTTCTTACATAGAGGAACAAAGCCTGAACAAGAGCACTCATGGATTTCATAGACACTGGTCTCCGTTTGCTTACACTACGCTATTATTTTATGTCACAGATTGAAAAGATAAATAATCCTCTTTTATCTGCTGCATTCCAACAAATGAAAAAACAAAAAGAACAAAACTGTGGTGTCTCCAGAATAACCCACAAGTTGTACCAGTGTGTTCCTGCTCAGTTCTGTGCCTCGGTGTGCCAGACTGGATTTCACAGGATGTATTCTCCACCAGCAGGTAATCACTTGCTTTAACATCTTTAATCAAAACAAACAGTGACTGACTACTGAAGTTGGATTAAAATCCAAAAAAGTGGCATTCCTAAATAAGAACTGTTTCTTGCCTGCTTTTAGAGTTATATGAGCTTACTTTTTTATCTACAGTAAGACCTTGCTGGTTTTCCTTCCTGAAAGTCAGTAAGGCTTTGGGAGGATAAGCCACATTCTAGCCTAGCCCAGGCACTTTTTTGTAGCTTGCATTATTAAAATCTTAACCTTCCCTGGTGCTTATCAGAGCCCCTAAGACACTATGACAGAAGTGTTTATATAAATACGTTATATTGATGTTTCTTTCACTGGATTAGCCATTAAATCCAAACGGTCACCACTGCAGCAGCAGTTAAATCAGAAATGGCCACCAGCTGTCATTGCTCATGATTTCAGTGATCCACTTCATTCAAATTTAGTTGCACAAGGATTGCACGCGTGAAGCAGGAACATAACATGTCACACTGAATCAAGAAGCAGTCTCTTAGTACTTCCACCCCAAAAGAACCCATTGTTAGAGCTGGTTTTTTTTTTTTAATTTGCTTCTGAAAAATTTTCTTTCTTTTTCCAGAACAAAAATATGGAGCTGGCATCTACTTTAAAAGGAACCCGAAAAGCCTCATCGAGAGTAAAGAGAAGTGGAAAACAGACTCTAAAATGTATGTGTTTGAGGCTGATGTATTAACAGGCTTATACACGAAAGGGAATCCCTCTTATATTATGCCCCCGGCAGTGGAGGGAGATGCCTTTAAGGTATATGACAGCTTAGTAGATGATGTAGAGAATCCTGACACCTTTGTCATTTACAACAGTATTGGGGCCCTTCCACAATACTTGCTGACGTGTTCCCCAGCGAGAGAGAGGGCCCCTGAGGAAACCAGCAGCATCCTGAGTAAGAATTTCTCAGAACAGTGGCTCTGAGCAAAGAGAGCAAAGTCCCCCTCAGGACAAAGTTTATTACCTAAATTTTAGGAGGATACTCTACCGAGTAATGTGCTGTGATCAAAGTGCCTCATATAAAGTGCTCTGCAATAGCCACAAACAAAAACCATTAAGTCTAGTCTTAAGACTAGAACGGAATTACCTGTGAAACAGAAGGGAAAGCATCACAAAATACAGTTTAACATTTATCTGGTCATTTACTTTAAGGCATAAGGTATTCTGAGGATGTGACTGTACGCTTCATGTCTGCGTGGGCTGTCATTCTTCCATTTTCTTAACCAGAGATATTTTGCTTATGTTAGTGAATCCAAGAGATCTTGGTTGTGCCTTTGATTCTTAAATTTTCTTTTGACTTACAGAGGTTAATCTGTCAGATGAAAGCTATTCCCCCTTAGGACATGCTAGTAAATACATGGTTAAGACAAATGTGAAGCAATACTTCATGATTTTTAACAATAGCTGCTGTTAGTTTTTATCAGTTACGAGACTCCAAGCATTGTAGATACATGCAATTCAAAATAAAAAGTTATGAACAACGCTGTCAGCCAACCTGTTATTTTTCCACATAGTCTTAAGAACATGACTTGGACTGTATTTGAGCTTCGGATTTCTCAGTGGTGGTCAGTCTCTTTGGAAGGCTACAAAATAGTAGAGAACTGGTTCAAGCTACACCTTGAAATTGCTCTTCAATTAATCTACCTTTACCAGTATCTTTTAAAGATGACAGTGTGAGCCTTGTAGCCAGGTGTCCCTGCATTGCTTCGGCAATAAACGGGAAAGCTGAAGAGCTATTCTACTCATTTCAATGTAAAATGGGATTCAGCCCAGCTCTTGGGTGCTCTGAAACCTCTCTACTAAAGCCTGAAACTATGATGTTACTAGGGTTCGAAACAAATCTATTGCCCCAAACTAAAAGCTCATACCGTATTTGTCCAATCTGCAGCATTTAAAACCAGCAGTTATGGCCCTAACTAAACACCTAAACGGTTTATAACAGCGCTGCAAGACAGAAATAAAGGCTCATCCGTCACTACCAGGCTGACTTCTAGATTGAAAAGTCACCTAGGGTTAAAACTGTAATTACCTGGGGAGAAGATGGGCTCGCATGAAACTATTAAAAACAACGTCATATGAAAAGCATTTCATCCACGTGGAAAGCACTGTCCTAATGGAGAGCAGTCTCAACCCTAAAACATAGATGAAATTAACATTTAATAAAACTTTTCAAAATAATTTGTTAATGAATTCCCAGCACATTTGTACTGCACCTGCAACTCCCAAGACAGTAGTCACAGTGCTAGGAACCACTCACAAGTCTAAGAAATTAAGTTACAGAAGTCTAATTTTGAACTCTAAGTGAGGTTGCAAGTGGAAATATTTTTTTAAGCATTGAAAAACAAACATTTAAATGAAAACATTCAATTTTTGTTTGTATTTTTAAAATTATTTATAGAATAGCTGTGTCTCCCTCGTTGCGAAACAGCAGCTTTGGCAGCGTGTGATCCTAGTTTGCTCTAGTGAAATGTTAAATGGGGAAAAACCCCCATGAACTTGTAAGAACCATCTAACACATACCAGTCTAGTCCTCATAGAGATCCCAAGGTTGCTTTTAGAGAGGATGCTGAAAGTTTAAAAACAGAATCAGTCTATTAGTATTTTGATTTTTCCATTTAAGCAACCAATTCTTCTCCCACTATTTCTGTCCCATTTTTCCTCGTGTTTCTTGATTCACACAGTACTGCCAGGAAAATACACAGTACATTTAAAGTTTTTAAGACAGCATTGAACATGAATAGGTTCTTATTTCAGCTTGCTTGAAGAAGTTTCATTTTTTAAAGGAGTTTCATGGCAGGAATTATTTTTTTCTATTTTCTTGAAAAAACTCAGTAGTTCAGAGTTTCTGAACTACTGCAACGATTTCTAAACATCAGTTTTCAGAAAACTGTATGGAATTATTTTTTTTTGGCACAACATAACATCCTTTATCCTACTTGGAATAAAGAACAGGTTTCATAGTGCAGTATTATTTTAATACTATTACACAAGTACTGGTAACAATGTATTTCATTAATAACCTTTTTATTTACTTTATAACTTTCTTAACTGCATCTGAAAAACATTGGTAGTCAGTTTAATAGAAAAAATAATTACAGAGAAAATTTTAACAGCTTACTTGAATGCCCAGCACAATTCCTCCTCCCTCCACATACACCCGCAGTTTATAAGGATTCAGTCTTACTGAATATTTATCTTCCATTTTATTATAGTGACATTTTTCTAGTATATAATTTCTACTTGTTCATCAATGTTCGCTGCACTTAGTGATATAATATATATTCTATACATATATATAGTTTTTTAAAAACTGGTAATGTAAGAGGTCATACATAGTTTTCTTCTGGTCCTCAAAAAGAATAATTTCATATACAGAAACTAGAAAATAAACCCAGCACAAACCAGATGTACCAAGTAGTACATATTAAAATAATTACCACAGTAATTGAAAATTCCTGATCTTAGTCCTACAGCAATCAGTTAACTATAGGCTACTCCACAGCCTCTGGGATTTCTCTGTTATCCACGATAAGGGTATGAATAATTCCTTCCTTCCGTTTTCCACTACTGACAGCCTTAATGCAACAGCTGTAATCACCAACACTGAAGTGAGTTTCAGTCCCATCGTCTACAAATTCACCCTGGGAGAAAGGAGACAAGAATAAAAACAAACAGATGCTATTTCAGAAAAATAAAAGCTTTAGCGCATCGGGCTGTTTCCAAGGTCAAGATGGTTTGTAGTTCCCACAATTAGAGCAGCCGTAGGTACCCTGCGACAAATACAGCACAAATCTGAACAAAGCTGCACAACCTCAGAGAGGGCTTTGTCACGCATCCAATTAAAGATTTGCGGGTATTAGATGACAATCAAAATTTCACATCATCAGAAACGGTAAAGTTGGAGTTTGTGAATTAATATCGTTGATCCACCTAAGTAAAAAAAAACACAACTAGAAAAGACAGCTTCCTTCTGAGTCGTGCAGTACAGCCAGTACCACACAAACCTACGCTGAAGTGGCAGTAAAACACGAAGTGTTTAGTGGTGTCTTCTACAGTAGGATCAAGAGAGCCCAGAAATGAGTAGAACAGTTGTGTATTTCGGATGCACGGCTCCTGCTGCAGTTACGTCATTTCATGTTATGGATTTTGCCACACATGGCTGTGGTTTTGTCATCATCTTTGGAAGAACAGATGAATCTGTGTCTCGCTGTAATGCAGGTACAGTTTGACAACTAAGCCTGTACTCACAGCTCGCAAGACTATCTCCTACTGCATCTGTTACATTATAGAAAAGGCAGAGAACCATCAAGAGCAGTTGTGAATCACTGAGGATGTTTATTCCACCGATTACCCCAGAAACATTTGGTGAATCTTTTCATCCTATTCTCAAGTATAGCAAAACTGTTGCTTTTACACTTTGTACTCCCTCCAGGTGATTCCTTGTGGCAGCAGTAATCACAGTGACATCCCTCTGGTGAGAAAGCACATCCTTCAAGGATGGGGAAGCCTACATAGTGTGCATATTGAAAGCCACCATAATATAAAAAGACACCGAATAGATTCAGCCTTCTAGCTGTCAGCCTGCTCTAAAAATTAGCCAGAAAGGCAAAAGATTTGATTTGTTCCAACAAGACTTTTAAGCCCCAAGCATTAGGGACCATCATGAGCCATAACAGACTACCTGTGTTCGACCTTCTGTCACTGCTAACACGAGCAGGTTTGGATGAGGCGGCTCCACATTCCACATCAAACTCAAGTCCCTCCCACTCCCCAGAAAGGTTCTTCCCTCAAAACCCTGGGCAAGGACCCAGAGGATTTATTGTGCTTGTCTCAAAAGCATCGTTTATCCTTAAATAGAGAGACGTTTGGCATCCTAACCATAATACTGTCAGTTTTAAAATACAGTGGGTGACACTGGGAACAAACTGACAGCGTTGGGGCTGGCTGTGGTAAAGCCAGGTGACATGTCCCTCTGTGGCTTATCTTGCCAAGCTTTGGTTATCTGCCCATCGCCCGTGAAAAGCTTCTGGAAGTGATCACATACCGCTGTTTCCATTTTTTGACCGTTGCACCACACATCCATAGTGTCCTTTTCTGTGAAGGAAAAAGAAAATAAGAAGTACAAAGAACAAGATATCCCCCCCCGCTGTAGACAAGAAAATGGAGGAAATTTTAAAATTTACTGTTGAATTTCACTTTCAGTAAGAAGTTCCTAATTAGCCACAGCACCTGGGCTACAGGGTTTGTTCTTGTATGAGAGAGATAGGAGGCTCTGTCATCAACGGACAAACAACTTCGGCTATGAACACACATATTAACTTCTCCATAGCCCTGGGTATTAACATTGGGTTCTGAATCTTGTCAGAGATACTCTGACATTCTTGAATTGAAGAAGCTGAAGACAGAAAAATGAAGTAATTTCTGCTAATTATTTGAGTACTGTTTATTCAATGAAGCGCTAACATTTTTTCCAGGTCTGTTTAGTTCAAAAGCAGCAGCATTTAACATCCACCAAACTGTTCATATTCTTCAAATCTCCTTGAAAACCCAAGTGTCACTTCAAATAGGAATCTCAGAATTTTTTTTCATTTGAAAAAGACATTCTTTTAGTCTAGCACATCCTCCTGAAATTACTTTGCTCTAGAATTCGTGTTACTGACACTGTCAATCACAGGACATCAGCAGAGAGCTGAACACTGCTTGCCTTTTAGTGAGTGAGTGAGTGAGAAATGTATTGCCTTTCTAGTAAGAAAGTGAAAACGGTCATCTGAAGGTTTTAGATTAAATTTGTAGTTAAGAAGTGATGCAGAAATAAGGATGCTGATTAATCTATCAATGATGTAGAATAACATTGTTGTACTTTTTCAATTGAAGACTCCTTGACTTTGGCTTATGATTTTTGGAAGGAAAGCCTGGTTACCTGGTTAACAAACTCACAAACAATGCAAATAACACTTCTATAACATGCTTCACCTGGTGAACAGTCTTGCCAGGGCAGCTCTATGGATACAGAAGCCCTGACTCCTTCCAACCTTTTTTTTGTTTTAATTTTTAATTTTTTTTTCATCTAGACAATACTGCTGTAGAACAGAACACTAACAGTAAGCTCATACAGGCATAACAAGACCATTATTTTTCAGACTGTCTTTGGCATCTAATTCCAAACTTCCAGACCACCCAGGATTTTACACTGCAACAGTGCTAGCCACTGAACTGTGCTTTCTCTTAACTACCAGTTATTAAATGCATCCAAGTTTATTCAAAGGCAGCAACGTGCAGTCATTCAATGTTTACTTACCTAGAACAACTCTATAATCAGTACCACCCAAGCTCAGTATCCAAGTATTGGTTGTTTTTGACCTGTTCTCCATATATTTCTTGAGGCTCTTTCCATTGATCTCCAAAGTATATTCATATGCAAAGCCACCGACTGCATCAATGTTAATAGTAGCTTTTGTTTTGGCTGCTCCAACAGTGAATGTTTCTTTACCCACTAATTTAAACATCCATTCTTTTCTTATTTCTTCCTGTAGAGTAAAACAAAAGACAGTGGCTATTAATTGATAAACCTGAATGTATGCTTTAGTATAAAAAAAAAAAATTGAACTAGAACTCTGGAAACAGCTCAGTACTTAAAATTATTTCAAAATGAACAAATACACAGTATTCTGTATCTCTAGCGTGCCTCTGCGCAGGGACAGAAAGCACTTAATGAATACTCACACCTTAATTGTAACTGAAAAAAAGAATGATGCTGTTCGTTAAATTAGGTAAAGTTAATTAACTTCACTTGCATTTATTAGTTTTTTGTTTGTTCTGATGCCTGTTGCATGAAGTGCACTTATATCATCTGTATCATAGTGAATTTTGAGCACACAGCAATTTCACCTTTCCATCAACATAGACAACACGTTTTCCTGAAGTGGTCCCATGTTCAAATTCAATCTTATGAACACCATCACTTAAAGCTACTTCCCAAACAGCCACCAAATCTGTCATCTTCTCTAAGTGGCTGTACCGAGACCTACGGAAACACCAACAAAGTAAATTAATTATCGTTGAAAGGGTTCGGTTACTGACGTCTACAGTTCAAAGCTTTACGCTTCAGGGCAAGCCGCTTTTTACAAATGAAAAATGAGACTTGAAAGAATGAGCTTACAGAACTGCTTATATTCTCCTGTTTTTCAAACATTCAAATATGACAAAATATCACAAAATATAAACAGACAGTTAAACAGACTCACTTTGACAAACACCAGACATATATATCCATCTAATGTCTAAAAACTTCCATTTCAGGTGACAGTGTGGTCACACAATTATACTTAGAATTCAGATGCTCCTGGACAGTTCTGTGATTTCTTGACAGGCTTTAAAATACAGTATTTTGACTGGTCTCTGATAAAATGGTTTAGCCTTTTAAACTTGAAAAATAGTCAGGATGACCAGTTTAGTTATTACCGGTTTTAACAGATTTGTCTGCAATGTTTCTCATCAACATTATTCAGAAATGCAACTCTGCACACACAAACACCCACAGGGGAGGAGATCTGGCAAGATATCCTTTGATTTAAATTATTTTTAAAGTTTAGATACAGTCATAAGCGACCACTGGAACTATGGATATCTTTCCACATCTGCTCATACCACACTTCTGATTTTTTACCTTAATTCATCTTCACAGACAGTAATCTCCTCACGGGATGCCATAGTAACCAAAACGGCTTTTAATCCAATTAGCAGCAAGAAAAAAAAAAAAGCAGAATAGCAGCAGAGAAGTGTTGAGGCCTAAATTTTCCTCATGTTCTCCATTGAAGATAAATTACATTTTTAAAAGCTTCATGAGCTATCATGCACTGCTGGATATATGATGAAATACAAAGACAGTTTTTCCCCTCAGACAGAAAGGCAAATCTTAAGTATTCTTTTACAAAAGTACTAAGTGCAATTTAGCCTAACTTTATGAGCGCATCATAAATGTGCTAGTTACTTGATGGAAAAAGGGTTTGCCAAACTTGTGAGCAAAAGCTTAGAAATGGACAACTTGAGCAAAGCAGGAACCTCATCCAGAGCTGCCCATTTCCGTCACAAACCGTAACAGAGCAGGGACTGTTGCCACCTCTGGGAAAGTGAAACAGCGCAGCCAACAATCTCAGTCTCCTTGTTTTTCTAAACCACTGTCATAGTTTTCAACAGTTTCATTAGCAATTTGACCTGGCAATTCAGCCATAAAGTCTATGAGAACCACAATCACTTGTTTCTTACTTAGGACACTTTTAGATCATGACTGTGTTATACGACACTGCTGATATTTTTAATTTATCATTTTCAGTAAAGATGAATTTATGTAAGAGTTATCTGCATTGTCTGTGCATATCAATACGCATAATTTCACTAAGTGCAAATAAGAAAATTTTTTGGTAAGTTGTATACTTTTCAGTGAAAAATGAATTAAAAGTAAAGTTGCAAGTTCTAGGGTCTCTCTTTAGCATAAAGGATGATCGTACATTTAAAAATTAAACCTCCTTCACTCTGCCTTAAGCTTCTATTTGAAAGCATGCTCAAGTACATGCTGTACAACTGCTGTATTACTGTCCGTGCTTTTGTCAGTAATCACACGTTTCCATTCATAAACTGAAAAGTGAGTTTTTAAAAAACAGTGAAACTGCTTTAAGGATACAAGGATTTAATTCTCACAGTGGTGAGTTGTCTACACCACCTAATAAGCGCCAAGGAGGTGGTTTGGGTTGTTCCTAAAGTTACGGGACTGTTCCTGTGACTCCCCTGGTTCCCTGCCACCTCCCTGGTGGGCGCCAGGCGGGGACATGGGGGATATTCCTTTGCTCCCCCTTCCCCTGCTCCCCAAAGGAGGGGTCCACAGGTCAGACCCACGCCTGTCCCTGCCAGCTGAGCCACACAAGAGGTGGCCTCAGGCACAAAGAGATACACCAGAAGAGGTGGCACCTGGAGCCTACCCACAGAGACTGCAACAACATTTTAGCAGAGAACTCAGGATCAATGCTGAAAGGGTTAGAAAACATCCCAGAACGCACAATTTCCTTTTTTTTTTAAAAAACATATCATGATAATGTGGTAACACATCATTATTTTTCTTAAATCAAACCTGAACCCAAACACGAGGAGGAGATGCTTCCGCGGAGTTTGCCCTCAGACATCCCCTCGCTGGCTGGGATCCGAAGGAAACGCCTTAGCCCTGACGGCAGGCCCCTCCTTTCACGGCATTTTTCCGTTGAACCCAGTCAGCGGCCCAAAATGAGATTTACTTCTTATTATACATAAGGGCTTGTTTTGAAAACTCGGATAGGATTAACCGCTCTGCATCCACCTAATCCAGGCCTGCCGGCAGAGAGCGGGGGATGGGGGACGTTTAATTTCTCCCCACCGCCCACGTCTATTGCCAGCAAAAAGGGTCTGGGGCTGTTTTGTCGTTTGTTTCTTTTAAATTAAATCCTGACAGCCACCTTTCTAACACCCTCCTCAAAGACCTTATGGCTGGTCGCCGTTGATCCTCCACACCCCGTGAGGAGATTCCCGCTCCTCCGGGCCGCGCTCGCCTCAGCCTCCAGCCGCAGGGCCCCGCCGGGCCACGGGCAGGGTTACCGGCACCTCCCACCCCTCCCCGGCGCCGGGCCCGCGGCAACAGGCGGAACGGCTGCTGCTTCCTCCTCTTCCTACCCCTCCTCCTCCTCCGGCAGCCAGGCGGTCTCCAAGGAGCCCGCGGAGACGCTCCCTCAGCCCGGGCGGCAAAATGCCTCCGCGAAGAGAGCCCAGCTCCCAGGCGCTTCGCTTCCCGCCCGACAGGCTGCC